AAGTTGTGATTCTCCTACCTCAGCCTGTCAGAGCACTGGGTTTACAGATACAGCTTGAATTAGGTATTTAGTTGGGGGCTATTGTCTTTTTCAAATTATACTATATTCACAAGGAAAATATAGGACAGATTAAAATAGTATTTAGCTTTCTGCAAGGGTGTAAAATGGCTTTTTTAAATTTTGTATTTTATTATTTTGCTATTCTGAAATATATCCATATAAAGAATACATACATGTAAGTCATAAAAGATTAGTAAGAGTATTTTGGCGTTCACGTCCTGTTAATTCGGGAGCAATGTTACCAACAGTATTACTTAAGCACTTTGTTTTATCTGGCACTCTTTGAACCTTAATGTGACCTAAGATTTTATAACATGAGATCTTTGTTGTAGTTTGGTGTATACATTGATTCCCAGAAACTTGGTAGTATGAAGAGAGTTTTAAGTTCAAGATGGAGCGGAGTGGTGCTAGGTTATAGAGATAAGGTCCTGTTCTCATTCATCCATGTGTTCATTTAAAAAAAAAAACACCTAACTGATCTTTTCTTGATTAAGCAGGAGGATGCCGTATTTACCCTTTATTGTTGGTATAAACCATTATTTTACTGGGAACCATTAGCTATTTAAAACTTGGTACATAAATTAAAGAGGAGCTAAATGGATTTTTGATCGTTGCCATTAGTAGCATTTTAGATTATACAGGCAATTATTGTGTTCATTATCCTAGAAAAGCCCCTTTGCAGAGCCATTGTGGTTGTCTTAGACATTATGCACAAATTTTCCCTTGGAGATTAAAATTTCCAGTAGCGTATTTAATTTTGTTATCACAGTTGCTTCAAATAAAACAAATATTATGACAAGTAGAAGAAATTTTGCTTTACTAATATAGGAAATTACAATAAATGTTGGAAATTACTTCCTAGTGTATTTAATTTACCTTTTCTTATATAGTCATAATTACTTCAAGTGATTAATAATATATTTTATGGATAAAAAGGTTTTATAATCATAGCAGATGGTACCTGGTCTGTTCAGGTATGCAAGAAATTCCTTTCTTTGGTGGTGGGGGGGGGTACCAGGGATTGTGCTCGGGACCTTGTGTTTGCGAGGCAGGCACCGGAACCACTGAGCTAAATCCCCGGCCCCAAGAAATTCTTTAAAGAACACAGATTCATACCAGAACTAAAGTTAACACTTCTTTGTAGACTCTGTGACTTTGTAAGTTAACTAGTTTTTATTTTAAATAGCTTTTAAGAGCCTAAATTGTCTTTTTTTGTTATTTCATAAAATTTTTTGTTATTAGTATTTGTTTGCAGTAAATAATGTTTGCATACCTTTTGTGGAGCTGGTACATCATTTAAGAGTGTTTCAGAGAAATCAACCCTAAAGATTAGTTATTATAGAGCGTAGTTTAATAAGTGTTGAAATACATTTTTTCTCCCCACCGTGTTTTATTAAAATTGACCAAAAGATTGAGATCGCACTCTGCGTTATAACTTGGTTCCAGTTTCACTCTAGGAAGAACAGTCACAGTTCAGAAAGATGCAAGCAACACCCCATTGTTTCAGAGTTGGATATGACTCTGCTACACTTGTCATCACTGTCTTTAAATTAGAAGGGAATGGGGGAAGACTGCACTTAGTTGACTTCAAAACTGTGATATTCACTAGTGAGACAGTTAACCACATCTGTCTTGGTCAATTAGAAAGGTATTAATGCCTTGAATTACCCGAAAATCCGTGTGCAGTGGGCTGCTTTTAATGTTTCCATCCTCTGTGGCATTTTTTCAAAGGAAACTTTGTATTCATTTCTGAGTGGTTTTGTGGCAGCTTTTAGTCTTTCATTGCTGTGGTGTAGGGGAAAGAGTGTGAGGTAGTAGTTATGCATTTTGCAAGACAGTGATTCTTTATTTTATTACAAAAAAAGACCAACTCTGGAAGGCTAGATTAAATCATTCCTTTCACTTTTTAATGGGATTTGGATGAATAGAGTAAAATATGCACTTTGCATTCATTGATAGCATCTTTAGGTTGAGGTAATTGAGTCTTTTTTCCCTGACTGAATGAATAATGACTTCATCTGATCCTCAGTGAGGCCTGAAACTTAGACCGCCTTTGTCACAGCAGAAAGATCTGGGCTTTGAAACATGCTCTACTTCCCTGGCTTAATTTTTCTTCATTTTAATCCAAAAACCTATTTTTCTCAATAATTCAAGCATAAACTATGTAATGGTGAAGCAGCGGAAATTGCACGATATTTGTCCTCCTTGTGCTGCTTTTTAAATGGAGCTGATAAATCAGCTGCTGTGGTCTTGAGCTGCCTCATTCTCAAGGGAAGGCGCCGACCCTGCCCAGGAAACAACATGGAGAATTTTCAGAACTCGTTAAGTATAGTTCCTTCCAGACTGTCTATTATCTAAGGAAATGGTAGATTTAACTCTTCTGCTGCAAGACTTAGAGATAAAGGAGTGCCTGTGCTGGAGTTCAGAGATGCTCCCGTGGACTAGTCCTGTATATGATTTGCATGGTTTGAAGGGGATCGATCTATGACTGTACTAAGAATTAGAGCACAATGTGTGCTTCTGGGAGAATGCAAAGTTGAGAGCACGCAGTTCTTGAAGAGTATCTGTTGGAAATGAGCTGCTGTTTGTGTTGCTGTAACAGCAGTGCTAAGCAGAATGCCCCATTTATTGTTAGAAGTGAGGAGACATTCCTATAAAACTGATGCTTAGTTTCTATTTGAAGTTTCCTTACTTAGGTGTCTTGTGTAGTGGTGACAAGACACAAAGTGGGCAAATGAGACCACCCTGCAGATGGGCTGGGCTCATTCCCCACATCAGGTCTACATAGTAAGAGCAGGAAGGCATCCAGGAAGGCATCCCATGACTCTCAACCCACCCTACAGACTCTGCACTGTTCTCTTGGGTGTAAGTTTGGAATCTCCATGCTAGACAGATATCAGTCAAATTATATCTGGATCTCTGTTAATACCCTGTGTTTTCCAACAGTAATGCTGATTATCAGTTTCACAATGAGATTTAAAACTACCCAGTGAGAGAAGAAAATTATCTACTTAATATGTTTCTTTTATATAATGTATGTTGTTGCTGTTCATCTTATTTTTTCCTACTAGATTAGCTATTTCTTACAGGTAAAAAATATCTCAGAATTACTCATTTTTATAACCTTAGAGTTTAGCATAAAATGTAGCAGGCATGTAATTATTTATTTATTTTTCTTCACACTGGACTTCATTGGCTTTTTGACAGTTATGTTTTTTCTGAGGACAGTTTCTCATGGTTTCATGAGAGTTTGTGGCAAATATTAAAGCCATGTATAAATTATGAGTTCCGGAAAAGGCTAGCTTTCTACTGGCTGATGTTACAGGTTTTCAAAAGGCACTATGAAAGAAGCCAGGTTATTAAATCAGCAGTTCTGAGACTTTTAATTTAATATGTGTAGTATCCTATTTATATTTTATCAAGGTTTAGGCAGTCATGGTTTTGGGTTTGTTTCTTTGTACTTTTTTTCAAAAGCTGTGATAAACTCATGAGGAATTCAGGTAGCAAAGAGATGTCTAGCCTGATAGGTTTCAATGTACTGTTCAGATTAGGAAAGTCAGTACAGACCATTACATTCTGTTCTTGCTATTGCCAGACCTCATCCCAATGGCTGTTTCCCCTCAGCCTGGCATTGTGTGTGCCCACGGCATCTGAGCTCCTCTAACTACCTTGCCCAGTAGGTAGTGCCATTTTATAGATGAGAACAGTTAAGATTTAAAGAGTTTAAGGATAGTCCCCAAAGTCACAGTCTGCAAAAAAAACTTGATTCAAATACAATTGTGTAACAATGACAACACCGTGCATGTTGGGCTTTCTGTGTGACAGGAGCTGTGCGCTGTGTGTGCTGCGTATCATTTCATCCCCAGTTGGGGAGATACTGCCATAGTCCCTATAGTTAAGATAACTAAAGTTCAGTCAGTCCAGAGTTATACAGCTAGGAGACAGAATTGGTGTTTGATTCAGCTCATTGCAGAGTTCTGGAAATATCAGTCACTGTGCTCCTTCCCTTCTCCCGTCCGGAGGCCTTCTTGCAACACCCAGTTGCCCTGTGTATACCTCAGTCCCACACACTGTATTGCACTGTGGTCTTTCATGGATGAAACTAAGCAAGGAGAAGCAGTTTGCAAAGATTGCTAGAGCTCAAAATTGAAGTTACATGCTTCAGAAAAGCCATATTCTCTTCACGTGTAGAAAGAGAGCTGATTGGATGGCCAGTTCTTACTGTTTCCAAGATCAACAACAAAAAAAGAACTACTCCTTACTGATACGATCTTTCTCACATTTTTGTCAGCTAGTAAGTGATCCACAGAATGAATATGAGAATAATGTGTTTTATTAAGAAAATTTGAAGTGTGGGATTTGTGCTAATTGAAAAGGTTTTTAGTACAAGTTAACTACCTTCTGTTGCCTTTTTTTTTTTTTTTAAATCAGAAGTCTTCTCAAGACTTACAGATGGTGCTCATACACACACACTTTCTTGTTTGGGAGAGCCTCAGTCTGAATAAAATCCTTAAGCAGGGGTTTACAGAGACGCTTGAGAGCGACAGTATGACCATGACATGGTATATGCTAAGGGAAATGGGCTTTGCTCACAAAAGAACTTTTTTTAGGGCAGGGCACTGGTCAGACTACTGATCATGACATCATTTACCCAAAGGAGGTGGCTGAGTGGTTGGGATGTGTACTCTGGCCTTGCATTTGTCAGCAAACCCTTTCTGGGAATGTTCTGGAAATCATGATCTATTTTCAGAAATTCTGCCTAAATCTGCAAGAGGTTTTTCAGGAGAAAAGTTAGTACATTTTTGTATTTCATCCTTGTAAAAACAAATTTTAAAATCTTTAATTCTTTTTATATCATCATTATGATGTCTTCCAATCATAATATTAGGGATTTGTGGTCAACTTGGTCATATATTAAAGTTGTGCTCTTTTTTTTTCAGGTTGGTTTGTTGGACCTCGAGCTCAATCAGCTGACAAAAGCTCTATTTCTGGCTTTAGTTGTTCTTTCTGTTGTTATGGTAACGTTACAGGGATTTGCAGGTCCATGGTACCGCAATCTTTTCCGATTCCTTCTTCTGTTTTCCTACATCATTCCCATAAGGTAGGTTTATGAATTAAAATAAGATACATATCTGATTTCATAACTTACGATTTTACTGGGAATTTTTTTTTCTCTGTGTGAAAGAAATGATCCAAACAAGGCTAAAGAGAAAGAGAGCAGGAAACCTGATGAATCTGAGGAGTCTTTCTGTAGAAATAGCATCTGAGGCATAGTTTTGTTAAAATAACCTAAGGATCTATACTTTTCCTGATGGATGTATTGATGATATAATTTTCAACAATTGGGATATATTTCTTGATAAAGCACAAATCAACCTGAGAGAATAATTTTTATTGATTACTAAAAAACATTTTATTCCCAGTGTTCTTGGATCTGTGTGTGTCATTCACATTTCAAAATTACCAGTATTTAAAGGAAAATCTGATATATCTTTCAAGTTAGATAAAAATGTTGAGTAAGGCAGTTTTTAAATGTGAACCATTTTTCAAAATGAGAACCTGTATAACTAGAGATCAGGATATAAATAATATCAGATGTCTGTTTATTTTGAAGACTAATATTTATAATGTAAACATTTACAAATCATTTTTATGTATTTATAAAGTGATTATCTTTAAAAAGATATCCTTAATATGTATACTTGAAATTTTCATATGAATAATTGAAAATTAATGAATCACAGATAAATTATGAATGTAGAGTAGCCATTATTTATAAAATAGAATGGAATAAAACAGGACATCTGAGACATGTCTTAATTTATATATGGGCTTTCCCTAAAGTTTCTCAAAAGGGTGACATCTTCATTCATAGAGTTCATAAATGGGAGTAACAGTCTATTACAGAGTCTGTATACTTTGTAGGTTCATTTGTGGTTACTGTGAGTCACTCCAACTGCTCTTGCTCACTCTTCTAGGTATGAGCACAGCCTCCTTTTGCAGCAGTGTTCCCATGGAGGCTCCCTGTGTGCAGTGCTTTTTACTGCTAGTGACACAGAGAAGATAAGACACATGCTAGCAGCTGTCATTTTTGTTACTAGAATCACTGCTCATGTGGAACTTCTTACTTCCTAATACTGACCCCTGAGCCTGCCATTTTACTCCAGTTCACAGGCCTCACCTAAAGTGGCCCAGCATGTCTTCTCTGCTCTTCCAGGATGCCACAACCATGCCAGCATTCCAGGCTTCTTTTTGCTTAGCTGTGCTCTCTCAGTGCTCTTGTGCCTGCAATTAGTCCTGCTTTGTCACTCAGAGTTTACCGGTTATCCCCTTTGGAGATGCCTTTAGTTCTGACCAGAAGCTCTACATCAGGCTGTCCAGTCAGCTTTTCAGTTCTGGGTGGGTCTCTGTCTTCCTTGTTGACTGTTTTTCTAGTCCACTAACTTCCAGGAGGATAGTCACCCTAGTTTGGTGCATTAGCTTTGTATCCTCGTGCCAGAGCCAGGTGGCATGGTATATAGGAAGTGAAATGCTTGTTAACTGGATTGACCTGCCCTACTCGGGGAAACTGAGCTTGTACAGATCATCATAGTTGTCATTCAGGCACATACATACTGAGTGCCACCAATGGGCTTTGGACAGTTGTCTTCGTCCCCAAAAGATCCACTGGTTAAGGGGCTTTAAACAAAGTGTTTCAGTAAAATCAGTTAACTGTTTTATTCAGCAGTCATGCCAGAATTTACTCAAATATGATTCTTGGACCAGTTCCAAGTTAGAATGCATTCAGCCTTAGTGCACATGTCTGGCCTCAGTCCCAAGCCCCTGCAACATCTCATTTCGTTCCACCAACTTCTTCCATTGGATATTCCTCCCAGGTGCCTCCTCCTCCTCTGTTCCCACAAGCGCAACCCTGATCTCCACTTTCACATTGCCCACTGTCATTGAAGAACGTAGGTTAGACAGTTGGTAGAGATCCATTTACTTAGGTTATGAAGTTCCCTGCTTTTCAGTTTCTCCCTAGTGGAAATGCCTGTTTCATGCTAAGCATGCTCCTATGACCTGGGCTGAGGCCAGGGCTGTAACCATCCCAGGTATGGCTGTAGCTGTATTTGCTTACAGGAGCACTTCCGTGGCTGAAGTAGATGTTCAGCCTGAGAACCTCTGCCAAAGGTGGTGGTTTAATTAATGTATTCCAATTTCCAAAGTACATTGATAGACATTTTAGAAGTATAACCTTTTGAGTTATGTTACAGTATTTACTCACTTTTATCAGAGTTTAATGATAAAGTGTTTTGGGGATTCTTCTAGAAATTGCTTTTAGAGCTGTGTAGCAGTGTATTTTTATTATTATTTGCACTGTGATTTGGTGCATAAAGTTTTATAAATGTTCTATGTTTAAAAATACATTAGAAGGATCTTGTCATTTTTGATACCATGTATCTTTTTTAAAAAAATCTTTTAATTACTAACAGTATAAAATCTGTGCCTCTGGTAATGTGTTTGTTCATTTCCTCTTGTCATTTCTCAATTTTAGCTTTCTATATTTTAAGGCTATCTTACAGGATGTTTACAGGTTGGAAATGGTTTTGTCTTTGTGGTGGATGAAAATTTCTTTTAAACCACAGGTAGCAATTGATTGATTGATTTGGTGTTTTTTTAATCCCATATCACAGTCTATTTTATATTTTTTATAATGTATTGATTTACTGTGTTTGCATTTCATATTTATTGTGATTAATTTGTATGTTACCTTTTTTGTTATTTTTTAAGTTCTGATTTTCTCCTATGAGCTTAGAAGTATTACTTTTTCTGTTCTTGTGGTTTCTCTAGAAAGCCCTGGGCCCTAGGCTTTTGGCATTACCCCAGTGGCAAAGGACACTTGTACTTAGGCACCCTGCATCTCTCTGACACAGTCTTCTTTGAAAGAGGAAGATGGGCTATGAACAATGTAAACATCATTTATAGAAGAATGCCCTTTGTGATGTTTGAATAAGACATGGAAATAAATTATTATTCACAGCCAATCGTACTGCATTTTATTTGTATGTAAAATGATAAGCAATGCATGATAGTTATGATAAGTGTTGTGGTCAGTAAATAGCAGCATTGCTGATGCACATGAATGTCCAGACAAATTCAGTACCCTTTCCTTTTTTCTAGTTAGAGATAGACATAAACATTTAAGCAAATAAAATATTTATATAGTGGCAAATTTTATTATTAAAATAAAGTAGGATATTGGGCCTGAGAGAACCTCTTGGTGCTCAGAAAAGAGGGATCTTCTGTGACTTAGTGATCATGGAGCTCTACCCTGTGTAATGAAGCCACCAGGAAAGGAAGGGAGGGCAGTTCTGGGCAGAGGAAGAGAATGTCCAAGATGGTAATTGACTAGCTGCTCAGTAACGCCTCAGTAACATGCTTCTCTGTCCCTTGCCCACAGTGACCTGTGCAAGACACCCACTCCTGTGTCTGTCCAGAGACCATCATCTTTCCCATCTTTGCTTAGAAATCCCAAAATTTGCCTTTTTTGCTTTTATTTTGTTGTTCTTCATTTTATTTGATTTGGGGCTGTTCTGGAATGTTGTGTGATGTTACTTTCCAGACTGCTTCGGATTTACAGAGTGAGAGGCTATTGGGAACTTTATTCCCTTTTTTCCTATTTATTATGCTTCTTAAAAACTATCTCTAATCACTGTGTTCTTTAGTAATATGACAGTATAAAGAGACTTGACTTTTTTTCTCCTGTATCCAAATAACAAGGAAAATTCATTATAGTTAGGAAATCTAGTATATGTTGTAAAGCATCGTTAAACTAAATTTCTACTGTTTTCATATTTGACTGACAATATAACCAGTAGTAAAAAGGAAAATGCCTGGGACCGGGGGTTTAGCTCAGTGGTTCCACCACCTGCCTCACAAGCACAAGGTCCCGAGTTGAATCCCCAGTACCAAAAGAAAAAAAAGGAAAATGCCCAATAAGAAGAGAAGAAAATAAGTATTATCTATAATCTATCTCTAGCTAAATTCTGTGAAAGCTTTTAATTGTTTTTATAGACTTACAAATATATATGGATACATAACACAGGCATCCCCTTTTTAGTTTGTATATTCTTTTAAAATATGTTTACAAAATGAGGAAGATGCCAAGCTTTTCTAAAGGCTGTCTTGCTCTAGTTTTTCAGTGAGCAATTCTATATTTAACATGTTCAGTCAAGCATGCAGAGACCTACTAGATAGAATTATAACTGCATCTCTAGCCCCAAAATATCTCATGCCTGCTTCAACATAATACTTTACATTGTTTTTTACAATCTGAGAATGCAGCTGTACAGATTTAGCAGAAGGAGTAAGACCTATAAAATGTGAAAAATATGGGATGCTGACTTAGGGAATTAAGGCTTACATTTGATTAAAGCAAATTTATTTTGCTCTTGCCAGGTCTCCATAAAATATGGATAACAATACATTTTAGTGTTTGCTAAATATATTTTTGGATTTAATAAAGGGTAAGATTTTGCAAGGAATACAAGCCTGGAAAGTAAAATGCTTTCCCCTCTACTGTCCTCTGACTTTTAGAAGGCTTTTCAGATTTTCAAAATTTAGGCTATTTTATAAAAACTCCTCTGTGCAAAATAAAATAATTTTGAGTTACTTGATATAATGTACATTGTCTTTCAAAGGAAAAATTAAATGATTTAACTTTTATTTTTGTAATTCTAAAATGAATATGTTTCCTAAATCCTGTGCTTCTCTCAGAACAGAGAACAAACTATCAGAATTCTTTATAGTAGACATAAAGTCCCCTTAGGTTAGGGGGTTTTCTCTGTAGTTATTGCTACTTTTCGCCTTATGCTTTGAAGTGATGTGTAACACTCTAGTTGATAATCTAAAAATTGTCTTATCAGTACTGGGTCAAAAAGATGTTTACTCTCATGTAAGGCATACATGGCCAACAGTGGCAAAATATTGTTTGACCAAGTGGTAATTGTGTCTCTTTGGAGAAACACTTAGGAACCTCTTGTAGATACATTGTCTTTGCTTAAAGCACTAAAGTTGAAGGGATGCTTCTGTTGGTTGGGAGACAGTATTTGTCTTTCATTT